TCACCTTGAAAACCCAGACTCTTGTGTCACTTATGTTGCCAATGGTCAAATCCGGGGAAGCAGCTCCTCTTTCAGATGTACTTTTAAAGCAAATTTAAATTAAAAAAAAAAAAAAAATCATTCTCCTTTAACAGTCACACCTTGATTTCTGACTTCCAGCCGGTATTATTCAATTTGGGAATACGCCTATTGATGACTGCTTCCTTAAATCGACTTACCTCTTAAAGGATGTAATTTTGACACCACTGAGGATGAATCAAAGTGTCTGACTACAGGCTCACCTTCCGGAGATCACCTCCCTGAGATGGTTGAACAGGTAACCCTACGCCCAGCGAGGCCTCCATTCTAACATGCAACATGTGATAAGTATGAGCAAATCATCTTGTGATTACAAGTACCAGTCCACAGATCTGCTATTTCAAAGTGGTGGGAAGGTTTTCATGTTTTCTCTAAAGAAGAGGCGAGCCCATGGCTGACAGGAATAGAGAAAATATGATCGAAGCGACACGTAAGTCATGGAGTGCCAAGCTAAGGGCCATTAAACACCTGAAATTGTTCACTTTTTCTGAGTCTTAACCAGAAAAGAAATTTACTGAGCAGAAGTGCAAGCTGGAGAGGGGACCACTGGCATATGGGGGGGCGGGGAGGGCTGTAATTGTAGGGGTGCCTGAGACGACTCAGAGAGAATTAACGCTTCCTTTAACGAAAGAGAATTTTCACCGTCAAGTTTCCGCCTCATTCTGACTTTGGCTGTCAGCGTTAGAAAGGTTTTGTTTGGTTGCTTTTTCCTGTAACTATTATTACCTATTTGGAATTTTTTCCAGACATGAAGCGCATAGTAAGCCACTGGCTGAAAATTACTTTTCAAAAAATGTATATAGAGCATAGCATATGTGAGTGTAATTTAATATCTGACTATTTTAATTTATTGAAATACTTACTGTAAAACTGCAAATATTTTCTATCTAGCAAATCTTCCAAAGGCATTACTAGTGATTTTATCTAAATTAACAAAATATGAGAAATTCAGATAATAATAATGAACTTTTAATCATTACTTCCATTTGCTTATAATGTGGGTTGGGTTTTTTATTTTTTTAATACTGCATGAAGCTTTAAAAACATCTTAATATCATATGTTGAACTACATCGTTCTTCTCTGGTATCATTAAAAGAGAATGGTTTAGACCATAAAAAACTAGACATGTGAGGACCGAATGAGATACAGTGGACATTGAGAAATCATTACAATATGGAGGAGGAGGGCTATAGATTAGATATGAACATTATATTAATATCGACTTCCCGATTTTGCTCATCGCCCCGGAGTCAGCAGGGCTAGAGAGGAGTCAGGACTGCAGGGTGTTCTCAGACGGTTCGGGGTGGACGTGGGTATGTGTGTGCATACGTGATATGCGTGTGTCATTCTTAAGGATTATACTAACTCGGTAACATTAAATGACATATCGAAGGCATCTATATACAAACATACATGTAAAACTGTTTCTAAAACCCTCTAGGTCTACAAACTTGAAGAGTATATGGCAAGGGGAGGTAGCAGGGAGAAACGAACATAACACAGTGCTACCCTCTGAGGAAGTAGGAATTCTCTGCCCTATTCTTGCAACATTTCTGCAAGTAAAATGAATTGAAAATTTTAAAACATGTTAAGAATAAAAAAGAATGTGGTTTAATAATCAGGTAATTCCAAAAGCGAGCAAAGAGGTCACGCACTATATTTCTAGCCAACAGGTGGTGCCAAAAAGCTCTGGCTTTCCTTTAACGATATTAGAAAGTGAACTTTCTAAATGCAATGCTGAAAATTCAGGAGCAGTGACACAATCCTTAAGAACTACGCCAATGCAGGGACATTGAATTAAAGGACTCCAGCGCTATGTGAGGGCAGGGTGCTCACTCCTAAAACACCACCTCTCCCAAAGCCTCCCTCCCCTTCAGCCAGATGGAGACCACGCCCACTTCCTGGGTGGAGTTAACGCTCTCCCTGTGGGCTGCGGGGGGGTCTTGATCTAGGTAATTCCCTCTAACCTGCTGGGGGGTTAAAAAGTACAGTTGTTGGTAGGAAGGCAACCATGTACACTCATCTTACACACACACACACACACACACACACACTGTAGAAATTGACCTCATTAGCAAATATGATTTTTTTTCTAGTTATAAGCTATAATTGCAAACTACAAGAAAGAAAATTTCATAAATACATAGATCCCATGAAAAGATTTTGAGGTGTCTCTTAGGACATACTGAACCAAGGCCAGTGAGTTTTACAGACTTTGTGTCAAGTCACAGAACTGAATTTCCACAGTAAATCAGATTGGCTCACTCTCATTTCACATTCTTAAAATTCACTGCTAACGTCTATCGGAGGCGACATGTATAATATCCATTTGCTCGAAAAACCTAAACCAGGACCATTTTAATGACTATTTTTAGAATTTCAAATTCTTATGATATTACTTTTGGATTTAAAAATTCCCACAGGACACAACTTTGGAAATTTGAAATCACTTAACCTAACTAAATCTAGCCATAGAGACGTGTTAACTCAATTATTATTATTTTTTAGTCTATAAAAGTTAAATGAATCACTAGCAATTTTCTCCCAGTTTCTAAACACAATGGAGATAGTGGTTAATGTACCCTTGCAACATAAGTCTTAGGTTAGAGAAAAATAAAAACGGTTAACGAGATGAACCCCTTTATCTATTAAACAGACAAGATTACAATTCTAAGAGATAGGACGTCAGCGAAGCACAAAGAGCCTGAAAATGAAGTGGGAGAATTTTTTCCAAAACTAATTCGAAGTTATTTTTCTTTCTTTCTAGTACCAATGACCGAAGAACAAGAGGGGAAATGAACGGAAAGAGAAATAAATACTTTGCTGAGTGAACGCAATTCTCTCGAAACGTTTGCTCGCACTGTTTTTATTTAATCAACAATTCTATGGTCCACGGAGAAAACGGCGGAAGTCAACACATCTCCCCGCAGTGACTGTGAGAGCGCCAGGCGGCCCGATTTCCCACTTCGATGCTGTGCGCACTCACTTCCCCCACTGTTTTTAAGAAAGTCATTCCAGAGCCTCCCTTCCAATAACAAAGGCAAAGCTCTCCTGAACACCCACCTGTCTGCTGACCTTAAAACTGCTTTTTCTCCAGAAGGAGAACAGATCCAGGTGACACAGAATAATGACCCGCCAAGACTGAAGGGTAGACACTTAAGTGGAAAGAGTAAAGGGCTTAGTTATCCTCACTATTTAAAGTTTCTTCCTGAGGTTCGTCTCGCTGGAGCAGAACTCTGGAGTGATGAGGCTCATCACTTGGCCTGAGAGAGCCAGAAGGGTCGGGCAGAGGCCAGGGGACCAGAAGGCAGATGGATGCTGGCTGCGTGCGGCTGGCGGGGGCTGGGGCCTGACAGGGAAAGGATGGACAAGGCCTGGGTCATAAGGACAGAGGGGCAGAGAGGGCTTTGCAGCAAAAGCCAGGTACAGAGACGAGGCATTTGGCTGCCTAGGAATCGGAGAGTCACAGCAGGTGACAACATGGGGGGCGGACTCTGCCAGCGGGCGGGGAGACCTTTTCTCCAGGGTCCCACAGCACAGTGGATGCAATAAGTAGACCTTCATTTCAGTACAACGGCTAAAAACAGGAACGGGGACACCGAGGGAAGGAGGTGGCCTCGCTCAGGATCTGCCGAGAATAAGCAGTCGGTCAACATAACTGCCCAAGCACACGGGGCACATGTAAGCAGCTGGGGCCGACCCAAGGAGACAGGAAGTGCTGGGTTGAGTGCGAGCATCATTCCTTTGCAGAAACAGAGAAGGCAGGTGTGAAGACCAGTTTCTAAAGCATGCCGTGTCCCACCGCCACCAGCTCCTCCTCACCCTAGAGGGACCCCAGCTGCCATAGTGACTGCAAGCCTCTTATGCAGTTAGTGGGAAATGTTGGGCTTTGAATCAGATAAAACCGAAGTTCCCTTCCCAGCTCCAGGGAGGGCGAGGAGGAAGGCGAGCTCACCACTCACCGCACCTGAGTGCGGCACACGCGGGAGCTGTGGGCACTCAGGGCAGTGTTTGGACTGAAGCACAAAGGTTCTGTCTGCAGGTCCTTGGTCTCAGGGGATCATCTGGACCTAGCAAGATGTGCACAGGTCTGAGAAAAAGGTGGTGTCGATCCAAATTCTGGTTCTTCCAACTGCCAGGCAAGATGGACTATAAGGCAAATATCTATATTCGGGACGGTAACAAGCAGTCTTAAACACAGCGCATTCAGTTCAAATAGCAGCTTACGCAATTTGAAGCTTAAGTCAACGAAAGCACACACCTGCCTGGCTTGTTTTGCTTCAACATGGGTGTAAAAGGGGGACTGGGGGCACAAATATTCACCAAGTTTTTGTCTACTGACCAAACTGCGCTATACAATCTAGGTAGGTTACATAATATTAAGATGTTCTATAACATACACTAGCGTAGGACTGTGCCACATAACATAACATATAATGCTGCATCATACCTTAGTTCCCTTCTGAACAAGTGTCACACGCTTTTCTCTACGTGACACTGCCGTCAATACCACTCTCCTTGGCCAGTTTCAGCCTGGAGCCTGCAGGCTGGTCTCTGACATGACAGCCTCGGACAGCGAAGCAAGTTTTGCACGGGCCTCGCCAACCAATTTCCCTTCAACAAACCTATGACACGCGACTGCCGTGAACCCAAGTACACCTGTCCTTTGTTTTTTCACAGCCAGTAACCACTCGGAGGTCTGGAGACTTGGGACTATTGAGCAGATTCACCTTGTTTCAACCGGAATGGAAGACCTCGTTTAGGGAGTTACAGCAGAAGCCTGTCGCAGCACGGAAGACGAGCCAGAACGCGGACTGTGCATCGTCAGAGTTTGGGAGCGAACAGAGAACAAGGGCAGACGAGGAAGGGAAAGGGCCCGACAGGAAGAGCGCGGGGCGCGCCAGCAGCCGCACGTGCTCACCCGCGTTGGAGCCGGTCAGATTGTAGCGCGCGTTCAGCTTTTTGATGATGTTCTCGTGGATCTGGCACCACTCGCTCTCTGTGTTGCACCTGCGAAAATATTAACCCCGATGAGCTTTGCTGGTGCATGAGAGCGAGCAAGGACCTGAACAGCACGCCTGCTCCTTTGGATGCAGCCACCATAATGGACGTCCTCGCCCTCCTCTGAGGTCCCCACGACCGACTGCAAGCGACTGCCAGTCAGCGCAGGCACCCTAAGAGGACAGGAGTGCCCATGTCAGGTCATGCACAGCCAACTCCCCCACGCCAGGAGCGACTGGGATGGACAACGCACGGGTTATGCGAGCCCCCTCCCCACCCCAAATCTCAGAACAGCACGAACAGTGGACCCTGTCTGTCGCTGCTCGCTCACAATTTGCTTACATATTTATTTATTTCATCACTGCAGGCTTTTCCGGGATGAGCCTGATGGAGTTTATTTTCCAGCCAGTTAGTAGGATACCACACAGAGCACCGAATCATGTGAGGGAATGGAACCATCCAGCCTGTCCAGCTGTTAAGGCACCAAACTGCCATTCAGGGCATCCCGCCCCGTTTCCTTATTTTAGCTCAGTGGGGAAGGAAGAAAGGTGGCTTGCTTTCTATTTCATAGGTAAGTGATTCCAGAATTCCTGCTTCTAACCTACAAAACTCCAAACACACACACACACACACACACACACACACACACACCACACACACACAGCACCTAAAGTATGTGACTGAAATATCTTCCAGACCCCGATGAGGTATTTGTTGTTGTTCTGTGTCTGATTCGCAGGTGGGCTAAGGATTCGGCCACCTTAACCAACAGGTTTCTTCCAAATTGTTTCTCACAGGCACCTCCTTAAAATGCGTTTATAAAATCACAGTTCCTTCTTGCTCTGCAGGGAGTGTTTTAACTGGCTGCCATTCCTTCTATGAACAGCTTCATAATTTACTGAACAGGCATTTTTAAGGGATCTCCCTTCCAGCAAGATAACCCCAAACTTCATTTGATGCTTATGAAAAACAGTAAGAACCACAAAGAGCAGTACGATGTACTTTTATGAGAGCAACTGTCTCCCACAGGCAGAGCTGGAACTCCTGAGTCTTCCCCAGCTGCCTGCATAATCAAGAGTCTGCATGTAACAACGGTGAGTCCCTAAGATGTTCCAGGGCCAAGGTCTGCGTGTGTGAGGAATTTCAGTTTTCTTAAAAGGCAATGCCACGCAACGGCTTCATTATCACGTTATGAGACAGGGTGTGAAATGACGCCCAGAAACACACACACCGGTAACATAGGAGCTGAGGTCTGGGGTCTGGGGTCAGACAGTCCCAACCTGGAGTCCTGCTCCGGCTCTCACTGGCCAGGCATCTCTGGGCAGGTCATTTTGCCTCTCTGTCCGCTGGTGTGTAAAACTGAACCAACAGTGTCTGCTTCACGGACTTTTTATATGATGATAAAGTGACACGCCACATGCCACGTGCTTAACACGGTTCCCTGCACCCAGTAAGGACCCGGTAAATGGTGGCCGTTATCATCAGTATTATGCCAAATAAATTGTTTTACAACTAACAGCAGAGTTTGGAAAGATTATCATGGGTTTAATCCCAACCACTGAAGTTAAGGGCTGCCATGTGAAAAAAGAGTAGCAAGTTTTACTACTCACTGGTTTCACCAGAAATTTCAAGTTTAAAGTCAAGGTCACAGACTTTCTCTCTCTTAAAAGAGATCGAGAGAGTTTCCAGCCCTAAACCACAGGCTATAGACAAATCTTTGTCCACTAATTAGAACCGTGTGGCCCAGGTCCCAGGGGCACTGGATGTGGCAGGAGAGAATCCATGAAACCTGCCCCAGGGCTCAAAAAGCAACTGGAAACGCATGTCCCACAGGCAGTGGCCAGTCCTGTGACCTCCACATACGGCTACACTGTGGGCACATGGTGGACGGATCAACTCGAGAGCCGGAACAGAAACCAGAGCGAGCTCAGTCCTGGCGGTGGTCAGTGGCAAGGTCGTCGGGTCAGGACAGCAGAGAGCACGCCCTCCCTGGGGACCGGCTCTGAGCACCGCCCCCGACGCGGCGGGCGACGTGGAAGGCGCGTGGGGGGGAGGGGGGTGCTCCGTGGGGCGACCTGGAACCACCGCACCATAGGAGTCGCTAACTTTGGATTAGGAGCACAGTACGTGATTTTCTTAATAGAGTGTGATGAGTTGAATTGGGTCCGCCCCACCTACTGCCCCCCTAAAAAGCAACAGGCTGCAGTCCTGACCCTGGCACCTCAGAACCGGGTCCTGAGCAAGCGCTCGCGTTGGAATTAGGCCCGTGGGGTGGCCCAGCATCACCACGTCCCCGTGAAAGGGGCATCGGACGCACGCACACGGGGAGGCCGTCACGTGATGGGGCCGGCAGAGATGGGGTGCTGCACCCACAAGTCGCGAAGGCCGAAGGCTGCAGCCGCCCTCGTGCGGTCGGAGGGAGCTGACCCTGACCGGACCCGCGGCCCCCGCGCAGTGAGGCGACGGGCTCCTGTGGCCTCGGCCCCGTGCCCCGGGGCTGAACACAGGCCGGGCAAGGGCCAGCCCCGGGGCTCCCTCTCCTAATTCTGATGAATTCACATTAAAAATGATTTCTTTTCCGCG